TGTTGAGGGCAGGGGCTGTATTGTTCTTATGTCTCTTGTGTCTTCATTGCTCAGCGCCTCATACGTGGTCTCTAAATATTTGCTGATGACCCCGCTGGGACTAGAATTCAGGTGTCCAGAACACTTCTCTTCTGCGGAGTAGCGAAGAACTGCTATGGCTGCTACTGGCCACTAGGGGGGCTGGGTGTGTGTGAGGTGGGGTGTACATGCGATCTCCCACCCCCACCCCCACCTGGCCAGAACTAAAATAATAAAATGCTGAGCTCACCGCTCCCCCTGCCCCCTCCCCCAGCACAAGGCTCCTCCTGCTGCCCGGTCAGTGCCCAGGCAGAGCAGACAGACCGACAGAAGGGGAGGTGAGAGGGGAGGGGGCTGACAGGATTGGTGGGCTGGGGGAGCCTGGGAGGGGTGGGAGAGTGCGGGTCTTAGTGGGAATCATGGGGAGTTGGAGGCTGAGTGCATGTAGGTAACACTGTCACTCAGGTTGTGTCTACACGACAGTGAGGTTCTGTGTGGTTTACACTATTGTGGCTATTTCAAGTTTGGTGTATGTGTATGTCCCAGTTTGTGTGTCTGGGTGTGGGGTGTAGATCTGTACGTCTCCCCACCACACTAATTGTACTTCCCTCCCCCCAAGCTCCCACCAAATGTTTCTAGAAGAACTTGACCCCAGATTACAAGGCATGAAGTCATTCTTCCCTCACCCCCCAAACAGGGCCAGTGTCACCTTCCACTTAAGGGCAGGGACAAATACTGGGGACCCAGTACCCTCCCTCCGGCCTCTGTAATTCCTCAGCCCTTGCACCTGGAGCGGCCCCCTCAGGTTTCCTCCGGCCCTGAGCCCCAGATCTCTCTTAGGACTTAGAAGTTTGGAAGGCACTGGAAGTGAAGTTCTGAGAGTGCCCCAGCCCACCCTCCCCCTGCATGCCCCCCAAGCCTTCCCCTATTGCCCAGGGAAAGAGGAGCAAGCTGGCCAGAGCTTCCCATTCCGTCAGCCCTCTAGGCTCTCCCTAGTCTAAGGAAGGAGCGGGGGGAAGACGAATTTCCCTGAAGCTCTCCACCCCCTCCTTCCATAGGAATTAGGCAGGGGCCCAAGAGAGTTGGCAAGGACCCCAGGCAGCTGTGTTGGGGGTGATGGGGCAGGAGAGGCGTTGACGGGTGAGGGTGTGGGCTGTGCTGATGGGTTGCTGCCAGGACTTCTTCCTACAGAGAGCCTCATCTGGGGTGAGTGGAAGCTGGGGAAGCAGGGAAGGAGACGAAAGATCTGTGATGCTTAGCCCAAGTCCCCCATCCTTCTTCCTGCCTCCCACCCCACCCAAGCATCCTGGGCTGCCCATTGTCCTGGGAACCTTGTCACTCCCAGAAGGATCTCTACCTTCCTTCACCCATTATCTCTTTTTGCACCTCTCCGGTCTAACAATTCCCTAATATTCCCTAGGCTCTGTGGGCCACCATGTCATCCTATCAGAAGGAACTGGAGAAGTATAGGGACATTGATGAAGATGAGATCCTGAGAAGCCTGAGCCCTGAGGAGCTAGAGCAGCTGGATTATGAGCTCCAAGAAATGGACCCCGAGGTAAGGGCATCGGACGGGAAGGCAGTGTCCAGAGCGAGGACCTGAAGGGTGTCTTCAGGGCTCCAGACTGCAGGGGGGCGGGCTCAGGGAATCCCTAAGGGTGCAAGGGGGTCAGATGGGGAGTCTGAAGACACTTCAGGGCGCCCTAAGGGTGTCCCAAATTTGGGAGTGGGGAGTCTGAGCTGGAACTTCCCCCCACTCCTACCCCCTCCCAAGAACATGCTCCTGCCAGCCGGGCTAAGGCAGCGTGACCAGACAAAGAAGAGCCCCACGGGGCCCCTGGACCGGGAAGCCCTGATGCAGCACCTGGAACGGCAGGCCCTGGAGACTAAGGAGAGAGATGACCTGGTGCCCTTCACAGGAGAGAAGAAGGGTACAGGAACCTTAGCGGGGCACTCGGCCTCCCACCCTGCTATTACTTTATTCTGTGTCATTGGCACTTCCCTGTTTCCCCCCTCTCCCTCATGCCCGTCATTCCCACTTGCAAGGCCCATTGTCTGGCCATTCCATATTTCTTGGGCTCTGTGAAGTAGCACCCCACTGGGGGTTAGAGGAAGAGGAATCCCAACATCTGGACCTCAAGTTCCTCCCTCTCCTTCCTGTAGAGACCCAGAAATCCTATTCTCCAATTCTCCCGTTTTCCCCAGCAAAGCCATCTTTCCTCTTAGCTCCATGTCCCAGCCCAGAGTCCCAAGTGTCTTGACATTCTAGACCCTAAGCCCTCACTCCTCTGTACCGACCAGGGTTTGGGTGTTGTAATACCCAGTCTGATAGGAGACCCAGATCTTATGATGCCCACACCTATCTAGGACCTATGCGTGTCGTCTGTAATCAAGGAGCTTGGGTAAGGAGGATCAGGGCAGACAGGAAACCAAGGATATGGGTTGGAAAACGTTTCCCTTTGCTGACTTTCATTCCTCTACCAGGGAAACCATTCATCCAACCTAAGAGGGAAATCCCTGCGGAGGAACAGATCACTTTGGAACCCGAGTTGGAGGAGGCTTTGGCCAAGGCCACAGATGCTGAAATGTGTGACATTGCAGGTGGGCAATCCCGGTGACAGAGGAGGAGGGAGGGGTTGGTCACAAGGCGTGTATTAATGGAGCATGGACGGGAGCGAGTATGCAAAGGGCTGAGAAACATCTTGGAAGAGTCATCAGTCCCTGCCGGGCTAAAGCCACGTCTCCTTCCCTTCCCCTGCCCCTAGACTCATTGGCGGGACGGTTTGGGGGAAGTTGAGTGTATCACTCCTCCGTTTGCTCACGTACCCCTCTGCCATCCCTTAGCCATTCTGGGCATGTACACACTGATGAGTAACAAACAATACTACGATGCCATCTGCAGTGGAGAAATCTGCAACACTGAAGGCATCACCAGTGAGTGGGTGCTGAGGGGAGGTGTAAAAACCAAAGGGGTGGGCTCAATGCTCATGGGGACAGGGCTGGGGGCATAAGGGCCAAAGGGAATGGGATGGGGTATGAGGGATGGGGGAACACGGGGGATTTCCCCCCTCCACCCCTTCCCCTCTAGGTGTGGTGCAGCCTGACAAATACAAGCCGGTACCAGACGAACCACCAAACCCTACGGACGTCGAGGAGACGTTGAAGAGAGTTCAGAACAATGACCAGGAGCTAGAGGAGGTGAACCTCAACAATATGCAGGTATTGAATTTGGCCCCACCCCAGAGGAGAAGATGACACATTCCAACGGGAAGGCCTCATTGTAGGAAGAAACCTGATCATCCCCTTTCCTGCTGATAGGACATCACAGCCTCCACAATTATTGAGCTGTGCCAGGCGATGAAGGGGAATACCCACGTCCGGAGCTTCAGCCTGGTAGCTACACGAAGTGGTGACCCTGTAGCCAACGTGAGTCCTGGGCACTCGCTCCCAATCACACTCCTCTCAGCTCAGCTGGGACCCCAAGCATGCCCATCAGTAGACCCTGCCCCTGGTCTTCCATCCTTGTTACCCAAACTTATGCAAAATCACCAGCTCCAATGGTTGGGAGGGAAGGGACCTCAAAGGTCATCTAGCCCAACCTCCCCCCACTCCCCATTTTACAGTTAAAATGGTGGTCTGACATCACCCAGGTCTTGGGCCTCAAGTCCGGTACTCCTCTTCCCAGTATGTCCCACTTCTCTCCGGCCTGGGAATTGACCCAGCTCACAGCACTGAAAGGCCTTGATGCCCTCTAAGGTGCCTTCCAGCTCTAAATCTACAAGCCAGGCAGTTCCACAAGATCCTTCTCTCACTGCCTACACTATGCTCTGCTTTCCTCTCATTTTGTGTCTTGCTCAGCTCCACTTTGCCCTCGTTGTCCCTCAAAATCTCCGCTGGAGACTTGTTTTCCACTGGCTCCTGGTCGATCCTATCCTCAGTGACATCTGCTCACCCAGCCCCTCATGTTCCTGTCATTTAGGCTATAGCCGAGATGCTTCGGGAGAACAGGAGCCTTCAGAGCCTCAACATTGAGTCTAACTTCATCAGCAGTACAGGATTCATGGCTGTGCTAAAGGCCGTTCGGGAGAATGCCACACTTACCGAGCTAAGGATGGACAACCAGGTTAATAGCTTCCTTTTCCAAGATAGCCCCTCTTCCCTGAACCCTGAACTTTCTGCAGAGAATCAAGACCAGCCCCCTTACTACCCTAACTCTGGAGCCACCCTTCTCTGACCCCTCAAAGAAACAGTAACCTTGGAGGGATAGTCAGTGGCCGGGGCAGAGTGGTCAACGGCTTGTCTTCTCTATTCCCTCCTTGTCAATGACTCCTGCCCCTCCCCCCAACCCTTCCAGCGTCACTGGCCAGGGGATGCTGTAGAGATGGAGATGGCTGCCATGCTGGAGCACTGTCCAGCCATAGTACGATTTGGCTACCACTTCACACAGCAAGGACCTCGGGCTCGGGCAGCTCGAGCAGTGACCCGGAACAACGAATTACGTAAGTGACCACTGAGTCGGAGGAAGTTACGAGGCTTAGAACTCTCGGGATTAGCTCTTCCAACATGAAGTTCAGTTAAGTGGCCGACTAGAGAAGTTCCAACAGAAATTGGAGGTTCTGAGTGGCTAACCTGGAAGTGAGTGGGGTTCTTCCCATGGACTCTGAGGGATCTGTGATCTCATCAATGGAGACACTCCCTTCAGCTGGACAGAACCAAACCCAGGTGTCTCTTCAGTCCCTGTCCTTCCATAAATCATTCATTCACAGGGAATCCAGCTAACGTGCTTCTTCTAGATGTCTTGCCATTGCAGTGGGACCCACAGGCTGTCTATTCCTCCTTATTCTGTGATCTCATACACGAGCAAGCTCTTCCCTTCTGCACCCCTCTCCAGCCTGTAAAATGGGCTTCCTGCCTGCCCTCATCTCTCTGGTGACATTACTTCCACACAGATTCCTGGGAAGTATGAGTAGCCAGAGAACAGATTGTGGAAGCTGAAGACAGTTTTATTAAGGGGATAGAGAAGCACAGAAGTTAGATGTCCTAAGACATTACCTTCCATGGGGTTCCTGGGGAGGAAATAATAAATGAACATTATTCTCCTGAATAGGCTCAAAGCCAAGAGCTTTGAGTATAGACCCATTTCCTGACTCCTCCTACTTCCACAGGTCGGCAGCAGAAGAAGACATAATGCTGTCCTTCCCCATTGTTTGAAGTTGGGACCCCTGGATGCTAGAATTCCCATCTCCCCTTCCTGTAAATAAAAGTCTTTTTGCCCACTTCACCTGCCGCTTTCTTTGGCCTGAGACTGGGCAAATGGGGAGGTGATCTTGGCATTAAACACCAACCCCCCCCTTCCCAGGGTGTCTGCCAGTTCACTAGAGGATTATTTATACCCCGGAGATCAGGAGGTTCTAGGCTCAGGTTACCTCGAAGGGGAGGGAGAAATCCCTCCCTTTACCAGCCCCCTTACGCCTCTGAGCCGCCCCAACACACACATCCTCTTTATTTCCACTCAGCGTTGGCTCCTCCAGTATTTCCTGAATTTGGCTAAGCCCTGCTGGAAAGCAGGAAAAGCCTCTGTGGAAATGGGAGGGGAAAACAGGGGGAGTTGAGGTAGGGAAGGCATCTGACAACTCAAAGGGCAGAGTCCTGCCCCGTATACTTTATTAATAGGGCAGAAGGCTGGGTGCAGCTGACGCTTGGCATGGCTCTGGAAGGGGCGGGTGTGGTATAGGGAGTTGTGCAGCCTGCAGGGTTAAAAGGACCTGAGATAGTTGTATGGCACACAGAGCCAGACCTTAGAGGAAGAAAGAACTTAGGTTCCTAGCATCTTCCCTGATTTATTTAAACAAAATAGGTGGGGAGGTCAGTATCAATCCAAGGGGAGATCTGGGGGTTCCTCTTCGTCAGAATCAAACTCCACATTCTTATCCTTTACCCACTGACCTCTTCCATCCTGGATCCAACCAGAGCTGAGAAGATCAGAGAAAAAAAGGTCTGGTTAGAATGAGAAAATAGGTTCACAGAAGAGAGGGAAAAGAGGGTGATAGAGAAGAAAACAAGAGTAGCAATACATCGGGCTACTGACCTGCGCAGGGTCAGATAATGGTCCAATGCTCTTCGTCTGGCAGGACTCAAGGGCACAGGGGTTGGGGCTGCTGCTGAATCTCTTTTGGCCTGTATATCACCCTCAGACTTAGATGCTCTGCCAGCCTTCTTGTCTGAAGGTTCCTCAGACTGGGGGGGCCTAGATGGGAGGTGGGGAACTGAAGGCAAAGGAGCTTCTGGTCTGAGGGAGAAGGAACAAAGTTTCCGGTGTTCATATACCAAGATAAGCTCCAAATGGGCACATGATTTAGACATAAAGGCTAATATCGTAAGCAAATTAGTAGTGCATGGAAGAAATAATCTGTTAGATTTATGGACAGAGGAAGAGTTCATGACCAAACGAGATAAAGAGGAGCTAAAATGGGTAATTTTGATTACATAAAATTAAAATTAAAAAGGTTTTGTACAAACAAAACCAAAGCAGCTAAAATTGGAAGAAAAGCAGGAAACTGGGGGAAAAATCTTTCCAGCAAACTTTTTTCATAAAGGTCTTATTTCTAAAATATAGAGGGAACTGAGTTAAATTTTCAAGAATAAGAACCATTCTCCAAATGATAAATGGTCAAAGGATATGAATCAGTAGTTTTGAAAGGAAGAAATCTAAGACATGAAAAAAATGCTCCAGATCACTAAATCCCCTTAATAAAAGGCCACATGTGGCCTTGAGGCCGCTAGTGTCCCGCCCCGGTATATATCTTTTGACCTAGCGATACTACTACTAGGTCTATAACCCAAAGAAATCAAAGAAAGAGGAAAATAATTCATGTGCAAAAATATTATAGCAGCTTTTTTGCAGTGGGAAAGAATTGGAAACTAAAGGGATGCTCATCCATTGGGGACTGGCTGAACAAGTTATGGTATATGAATGTGATAGAATATTATTGTTCTGTAAGAAACGATGAGGGCAGTTTTAGAAAAACCTGGGAAGATATGTATGAACTGATAGAAAGTGAAGTGAGCAGAACCAAGAGAACAATGTATATAATAATTGCAATATCATAAAGGTAATCAGCAATGAAAGACTCTGATCAATATGACGACAAAACACAATTCCAAAAGACTCAAGATGAAATGTGCTAACCCTTTCCAGATGGAGAGAGATAATGTCCTCAGAGTGCAGACTGAGGCATATTTTCTTTTCTCTCTCTCTCTTTTTTGGACATGACTAATGTGGAAATTTGTTTTGTATGACTATACATACTTGTAATGGATTTTGTTTTTCTTGACTTCTTAATGAATGGAGAAGGGTAATACAGAGAGAATTTGGAACTGAAAAATAAAATAAAATTGAGTTTTAAAGGTTTACAGGGTTGGGGAGGGAGCCAGTCCTCTTTTGTTCCTAATACACCAGAGTTATCTACTTCTGTTCCTCCCATCATAACAGTAATTCCCAGTAATCTTTCTGCCCATCCATACCCAAAGTCTACTATGGGTTCATATCCTTTGACCATTTATCATTTGGAAAATGGCTCCTATTCTTGAAAATTTAAGTCAATTCCCTACATGGGAACCTATGGATTTCTCCTTCCCATCTTCTCAACCCTTTGATATTCCCCTGTCTTCACATCTTTTTATTACTGAAAGCATTCATTTAACGGTTATCATGCATCCACTGTGCAAGGTGACGGAAGGTGGAAGGTTAAGATCCCTGTCCATGGGGAGTTTTATAGTCTAGTAACAAATGCTTCTAGATTGACTGCCCCATGTTTTCCTCTTCCCTTTTCTCGCCCATCTTCCTGTTTCTCTAATTTCCTTGCTCTTCTATAACCATTGCTGCCATTCTCCTGCTTCATCCTCTTGTTTCACCTTGTTTCTTTCTCTCTTCTATCCAATATTACCTGTTCCTCTGCCGTCGACAGCAACTGTTGTAATTCGGGGCTCTGCGTAGGGCACTTTGGGTAATTAAACGGGTCTGGGTCAGCAGAGGAGCCTGATGGGAAAGCAGAAGTAAACAAATGTTCTCAGACCTAGAGGGAATAAGACACTTCAAACCTCCCAGGATGAGAGTTTTACCTAGGCCAGACCTCCCTTTCTCACTTACCTGGTCCCCAGTCTTCTCAGTTCTCCATTCTACCTGCTGTTTTGGATTCTGTTCTTCTCCTTTCCACTGGTGCTTCTTGCCATAGAAATCTTGCAGGCCTGGTAGGGAAGAAGTATTCAGTATGGCTCAGGAAGGCTTTGTCAAGTAAGTGTTCTGCTTTTAACCTCCTAAATGCTTTTAACCTTACTGGCCAAGTGTCTCTTCCCTGAACGGTGAGCAGTCAACATGGTCAGTGTGTCCAATACAGGGCGGTGGGGACAGACAGCACAGGCAAATCTGGAGGGGAAAGGAGGGTAAAAGAGTTGTAATAGCCTCAGGGACCCTTGCTTTTGGTCATCTCAAAGCTATTCTTCCCTGCTCCCTTTGCAGGTCTTCCTACTCCTTTGCCAGCACACACCTCTTCCAATCCCCTTCCCCCATCACCCACCACTCTCCCTCTCTTTCCTGGAATCCAAGGTTTCAAGAATCAACATTTTCTTCTCATCATCCCCTTGTCTGTCTCCTCAAGTTTGACGTCTCCTAGACCTCACCGTCCATCTCGAAGCATCAATGCCTCATCTTCTGGGATATAACTGGCCAGCAAGTCCCCAACTCTTCGCTTCTAGAAAAGGAGTAGGCAAGGTATGGTCCAAGGCTGTAACCAGAAATTCTGGTGCTGAGGACAAGGCAGTGGGTGGGGAGGGGAAAAACTGGGGGGGCAACCAGGACACCAAAGGCCAGCCCTGGGAAGGAAGTTGGGTGGGGCCAGTCCATGGATGACTTTATTTTGTGGTGAAGACCCTGAGATCCCGACTCAGGGGTACAGGTAATCATCATTCTCACTGAGCCGCCTAGCTTTCCTGTAAGCCACAATTAGGTCAGGGGAAGAAAGGCTTATCCCCCAGGGAACCTCGTCTATGTCTCCCCACACCCACAATTCAGCTGTCCCCCTCCAAGTCTTCTGATATCCCAACTCCTTACCAATAGGAGGCCAAGGGTAGTAGAAGAGGGAGAGGAAGCGTTCTACCTCAAACCTGGGATGCAGGGTTACAGGGGTAGGGCAAAAGTGGCCTGGCTGTTTTTACTTTTGACTCTAGTAGGTTGTCTGTGACTCACTCCCAAATGTCAATCAATAGTCAATATACATATATTAAGGGCTGGGGACACAAATATGAAAAAGCCAGTGCATGCCCTCAAGAAGCTTACAATCTAATCATGAGGGTAGACAACACACAGAAAAAAGCTGAAAAGTAGGGGAAGGGGTATGAATTTTGAAGCCCCAAACGAGTGCAGGCGGGTGGGAAATGAAGAGTCGTCTAACGGGATGTCTGTCCCATCCCTTCTCCAATCAGTGGGGCAGGGGGCACTGAGGAGGGGAGTGAGTAACGAGGCCGATTGGATCTTGCAACATAAATAAGATTTCTCAACGAGGAATTTACTAGGGGCACGGCGGAGAAGTCAAAGAAGTTCAAACTGAACTCCGGACATGGAAGCGACATCCCTCTAAACGGCTGCGCCTTGGCAAAAGCCCCGTGGGTCCAGCCTAGTTTTGGGTCTCGCTGGGGCTACGGGGAGGAATGAGGGCTCCCCTCCTCCCTCTCTTCTCCTGCCCTCCCCATCCTCTCCTTGGATCCCTTCCTCCTTCCCCTCCCCCACCCCGCATGGCCCCGCCCCTTGAGGTTGCCGAGGCAACGCATGAGCCTACGCTCAGGAGCGACAACTACCCCACTTCTCACCTTGAGCACACTGAGCTGGCTCCAGTCGTCCCCCTCCCTCTTGAAGGACATGGTGTCTATCGCAGCCCTCCTCCACAAACTACAGCAGGTCCACCACCCAGACTCCGACGCCTTCACAGCCACCGTAGCTTCCACAGGCGCGGCGTGAGGGAGCGGTAATTTTTGGTTGGTTGGTTTCTTACTTCCGGGGCCTATGCTTCCGGGGATGCTGGAGCACTTTTCCTGGGCTCCCTCCGATTGGCCTCGCGAAAGGACTACATTTCCCAGGATGCTTTGGGGTCCCGCGGCTCTCTGGGAATTCAAGTCTTTCCCAGCGTCTCCGGAGCCCCGGGGCTGTAAGGCCCTTTAAACCGGAGGGTTTGGGGCTGTCTCTTGGTCCCGGAGCCCGCATGGGCCGCGTGAGCTTCCACCCGGGCCGGGGTGGGGAGCTGGCCCAGCCGCGCTCGCAGGGACGCCTCTAGGGCCCCAGCAGCTCCTCGCGCCTCGGCTGCGGGCAGCGACCGAACCGGTTGCTGTGGAACCCGGCGCCGGGGCCTTAGACGGGAGAGGCGGGGCTCCGCACTTGGGCTTTACTAGGGCGGGAGATCCGCCGCCCGGAGCGGGAGTCGGCGGCCTATGGCGGAGGCCGGCCCCCGGGATCTGGGCTGAGAAGGGCTCCTCGAAGGTCAGGGGTCAGAGGGGGTCAGGGTCGGAGGTCGGGTCCGGGTTGGGCCGACGAGGCCATGGCGTCCCCCTCCCGTCAGGCGTCCCCGGGAGGCTCGGGGCTCCTGCGAGGGAGCCGGGCCCGGTCTTACGGCAGCCTGGTGCAGTCGGCCTGCTCCCCGGTGCGGGAGCGGCGCGTGGAGCACCTGCTGGAGCCCGGGGACACCCTGGCCGGTCTGGCGCTCAAGTACGGGGTGACGGTGAGTGGGCGGGGGGCACGGCGGGGGCACCTTCCCGGAGGGCTTACCTGGGCTCAGCCTCGCGGCTCCCCCCGGACCCCGGGGCTGTGGCCAGGCCGGGTTCAGAGCCTGGACTGTGCCAGCCCAGGACGGATCCGAATGCCTGGCTGGAGGAGCATCCTCGCCCCCTCCCTCTTCTCCTCCCACCCCTTCCACATCGAGATAATTCGGTACATAGATCAGAGAGAGAGAGATCGTGAAGGCAAAAGTTATCTCCTCTGATCCTTACCACAACCTTGGGAGGTTGGTGCTATTGGATCCTCATTTTACAGATGAGGAAACTGAGGCTGAGGCCCAATTTGAACCCAGGACCTCCTGCCTCCCCGCCCCGCGCCCCCCCCCCCCAGAGCCACAGAGGACAGCCCCCGAAGTCTCCGTGAAGAGCCCAGGTGTGGGAAGGGTGCCCCCCATAAATAAGGGTACATCCTATAGATGGAGGAAAGCATGGAGTTAAAGTTGGGGGGGGGGCGCCTTGTGACCACTGTCCAACCTCCCACCCGCACTGCCTGCTATGGTTGTAGAAATGGACCAAGTGTGTGGGTGTATTTACCAGCATACTTTGGCATTGAGCTAATCACCTGGGGATCACAAGACAGACAGACAGACAGACAGACAGACAGACAGACAGACAGACAGACAGACACACACACACACACATCTCTCTCGCGCTCTCTCTCTCTCTCTCTCTCTCTCTCTCTCTCTCTCTCTCTCTCTCTCTCTCTCTCTCTCTCTCTCTCACACACGGTATCCAGGAGAACATAGAACACAGCCCTGGACTGCCCCCTTCTGCCACAGCCTTGGCTGATCATCAGGCTGTCCTGTCTCCAGGTTTTGCTGCGAGAGGCTGCCCTTGTCTGGAACTCAGTCCAACAGGGATGTTGCTTTCCCTCCCCCAAGGGTGGTTGTGAGGAGTCAACTGTATCGCGTCATTGTGAAATCATTTTTTAAAAAGTCTGAAAACAAAATGAGAGAACAGTAAATGCACTTTGAAGCACAAACATGCTATACGAATTCAAGGTATTATTAACTTTGGGGTTATTCAGAGTTTCCTTCTTTTAATAACAGCATTTCTAGAGCACTTGAAAGCCCCCAGAACGTTTTACCTGTTGTCCCTTTTGATCCTCATAACCACCCTGTGAGTTAGGTGCTGTTAGTCTCATTTACAGGTGAAGGAACTGAGGCTGAGAGTGGTGACTGACTTCCTCAGGATCCTACATCTGATAAGTGACTGAGGCAGGATTCAGACTGAAATCTCCCTGACGCCTAGTCCAGTGATCTGTTATTCGAGTTCATTATGATAGTTTTGTGCTAGGGTAGAAATATCTTGGTTACAAGTGAGGTTTCCAGTAGTTGGACTGAGTGGATCCCTTCTAACACTAACATTCTTAGGGACTCTTGATTCTGAGTACTGTCTTCCCAATGTGTTATGTTTCAGTTTAGCCAAGGTATACATATGCCGACAAATTCGTGTTTAATAATAAATATTTCAGGGTACCAAATTTATCAATAAGGAACCCTAAGTTCTTTAGAGTTTGCTACTAACTTTTTCTGTGTTCTTAGGCAAGTCATGGTCTCTTAAGTAGGCCTCAGTATATTCATCTGTAAATCAAGGATAATACCTGCCCTCCCTATTCTTTGGGATGGTTGTTAATATCAAATAAAGCAATGGATTTGAAAATACATTTAAAAATAGGAAATATTATAAATTTGGGAGCTATGTTATTATTTCTGTTATTAATCTGGTGCCCCTCCCTTTTTTTCCCCCAAGATGGAACAGATTAAGCGTGCTAACCGACTTTATACTAATGACTCCATCTTCCTCAAGAAAACTCTCTATATTCCCATCCTGACTGAGCCCCGGGGATTATTCAATGGGCTAGATTCTGAGGAGGAAGAAGACAAGGAGGAAGGGATGCCACTGAGTCGAGGTGGAGCTGAAGGCCCCTCAGCCTTGAGGAAAAAACAAGAGGAGAAAGCCAATGGTGAAGGCCTTTCCTCCAGATGTGGCCAGGACCTCCCCGTACCCAGCCATGACCTCTCTGCCACTGACTTCCTCAAGAAGATTGACTCCCAGATCAGTTTGTCGAAGAAGGCTGCCGTCAGGAAGCTGAAGAAAGGCGAGACTGGGTGAGTCTTTGGCGTTTCTGACCCTCACCAGAAACCTTTGGTGAGCACAGGAGGTGGGAAGCTAGGCCTTGGCACTGAAACGCTGTGGGATTCCACTTTCTTTCTCTTGAAGATCAAGGAGTTGGGTTAGATGAGCTCAAAGGCCCCTTCCAGCTTAAAATTTGAATTCCAGAAGCAAAGTGAGCTAACGCCTGCTGGAATACATCTGTGGTACACAGGGGGTTATGGTTTCAGGTTCCTCTTACTGCTCTGTCCTTTCAGGGGTGAGGCGAACTGAGCCTTGGGCAGACTTGGCAGCGTTATGGAGGCAGCTTGCTAGATCTCTCTCTGTCTCTCTCTTTCTGTCTCTGTCTCTCTGTCTCTCTCTCTCTCTTTAGTTCACACCCACCCCCCACCCCCATCCCGGCTCTTCCTGCAGATGAGAAATGTGTAACATGTTTAGCACAGTGCCTGGCACAGGTGCATAGTAAGTGCTTGTTCCTTCCTTGCCTCCCTTCCTGATTGCTTTTCCCTTCATCTTTACCTGCAGGGTGCCCGGGGAGGATCTGCATCCCCACTTGGCTTCCCCCCGAAAGCAGCAACGGGCAGTACTGGGCCCTGTACCCCTGACTCGAACCACAAGGGCAGCCACCTTACGGGACCAGGAAGATGAAATCTTTAAACTCTGATACCCCCAAAACTGTTGGGAAGAGAGAAGCAGTAGAGGAGAACCTGTCTGATGGGTTGAAAGTTGAGGATCCACCATCTCAGCCCATCTCTGCTTTGGCTTCCCTGCCCCGCCCTCATCCCCCTGACCTGGCCTTCTTGTCATGCCAGGGACTACGGCCAGACGCTGTGGGAGGAATTGTAGGCAAGAATGGAAGGGTTGAGATTAGATCCTTTCCAAACTCTTCTGACTGAATCTTGGGATCTTGTAGATTCAGAGAGCTCTGTCTGTCCCTTTCTTTCCTCTCTCTGATTCCTGTCACAGTTTCTTGGCCTTACTGTAGGGGTGGAGGGATCTCCAGAACCTGTCCCCCCACACCCTCCTACCCTCCTCTCTAATTTATTTGGTGCTATGTTGGAATCCTATTTATTGGCTATATTTTGTTTTCCTAGCAGGAGATGGGAGTCCTCCCAGCTCTCAGGGGATGGTGGCTAAGAAATGATCAGCCATGATGGCTGCTCCCGTAGTCCCCTCAGTCAGGGAGCCCTGGGGACCGTTGGGAGTGTGGGTATGTCTGAGCCCCAGTCCCTGCTGTGTAGCACTGAGGTCCTGAACCAGCCTCCCGAGAAGCTGTACCAACTTTCTTCCCCAAATCGGGAAGTGAAATGCTGGACTTCGCCTTGACCTCACTGGTCCTTTTTTCTTTCTCATGGTTCAGGAGATTAGAGATTTTGCTCACCCTTTCCCTCGCTACATTTCTGCCCTGTTCCACTGAGCTGTATATTGGGGTAGATAGAGGGATGGGAGCCGTGGCCACAGGCCACCTGGATGGGTAGTCAGTCAGTTTGGGATTTAAAGAGCAGGTCTGACTACCTGTGTTCTGCGTGCGTGCGTGCGTGCATGTGTGTGTGTGTGTGTTGTGTGTCTCCCCTACACATACTGAGCACTGGAGGCTTCTTCTGTTACCTCCATGGCCTCCTGGTTCCTTTCTTTCTTTCCATTGCATATTTATTTATGGTTTGTAGCACCAGCTTGAGGTGTAGTTCTGTATTTTTGAAGAGAAAACAGCAGGCTAGGGAGGCTCTTTGGGGCTAAGAGTCTGCCTTATTTTGTAATTTAATGTTGGACATGGGGGAAAGTGAATGTGTTTTCCCATTCCCCTCTCCCTGTGTTGATAGTAGGTTGTTAGAAACTGCAGAGATTAAACATGGAGCCCTGTGCATGGTTTAGCAGGTTTATTTCCCTTCTGAGTATCTTCCCCTGCCCTGACCTTCTCTGGGGGCAAGGCTTCCAGCATCCACCCAGACTGGCCCCAGGCCTGGCCCCCTGGGCTGGCTTTGAGTCTGACACCCCTCCTCCGCCCTCCCGTCCCCTAGTCAGCAGCTTGGGGTGCTGTCCTCCCTCTTCCTGGAAGGGATTTCCCCATACCATGTGTCCATACCATGGGGAAGTGGAAGGTCCGACTTTCACTTCACCTTTTTCAGGCAGCTTCATTTCCTGTCCTGGTGGCCAGAGGCACAGGGGAGGGAAGGGCTTGTGAACCCCCGGGGCCTCGCACTCGAGGGTAAAAGCCGCACTCTAAGGAGACCCAACCCAGCCCCAAGGGGGCTGGGGGGCCAGAGAGCCTTGGCCTGCTGCCTGTCGGGAGGCTGCCCCCTCGTTGGGATAGACGGAGCCAGGACACCAGGCCTCAAAGCTTTCCCTCGTCCAGCAGCTTCCTGAGCCCGTCGCAGATCTTGCTGAGGTGCTGCGCGTAGCCGGGGCTGTAGAGGGCCGTGAGCAGGCCGGGGTCTGAGAAGTGGTCGAAGACGTGGCGGATTCGGCCGTGAGACTTGGGCGTGAGGTGGTGCCTCACCAGCTCTAGTAAGGTGTCGCGGCACTCCGTCAGCAGACCCGCCAGCACAGCCGCTTCGAAGGTGAAGTCCACCTCACCGAAGCTCAGGGCGGTCATGGCGCCTTGGCGCAGCTTCTGGCGGAATTGGTCAGCCGCCGCCATCTCCCCGGGGCCAAACTGCTCATTTCGGTGCAACACCGCCACCTTAATGGCCACCTTGACCAGGTCCTTGATGACCCGCTGGGCCTCGCCCCGGCTGTGGGTGTACTCTTTGGACACCTTGTAGAGTTCATCCAGCACGTCGCTGCTGGTGTCGTCGATGAAGAGGTGCGCCACTGACCTCCCAGCCAGCTTGCTCAGGAGCTTTTTCTCTGCCTGCAGGGCGAGGTTTCTTGAGCTGAAGGGCTCCATGATCCCTGATAGGGCAGAGACCCCAGTCCATGTTAAATATCAACAGAAGGGACAAGCTGCCAGGTCCCTGCGAGGGAGCCGGGTGGCTTTCCCTCCCCCGTTGGCTGTCCCCCTTTCCTGCCAGCTGTAGCTGGGTCCCTGTCTCTTCCTGTGAGCCCCCACATTCTTGCATCTTTGGGGCTCTGTTCTGGAGACTCTGAACCTCTGAGGGTAGGACAGATGAGCCAGGGAGAGGGTTGGCTAGGGGACTGATGAAGGTATCTAGGAAAGCAGCCCACCGTGAGCTAAGCCTCAGAAGAAAGCAAATATGGAAGGAAGGGAGGGCAGACTGAAAGAAAGCAGGTGACGAGGGGCTGGTCCCACGTGCTCTTCTCAGCAGCAGGGGAGGCTAGGGGTCAGGCCCTCCCCCCCACCCCAAAGAACTTAATCCTGGGAACTCAGCGATTCTATTTGGGGCTGAATTGGGGACCCTGTAGCCCTTGCAGAAGGCTGACTGGGTCCTAGAATTTCCCCCAAACTAGGCTCCCTGCCTCAGGTTCCTCCGGTGCTTTTGCTTCTCACTTCCCCCTCCCCGCCTCTACAGGATGTGGCTGTGACCACAGGGAGGAGCAGACGCGCCCTCTCCCACTCCTCACAGTGGGAGCCTGGAAGGGTCAGATGGATGGGTACCTGGAGTCCCACTCCCCAGCGGGGTTCATGCAGTCAGGAGCCAGGGAGGAATTTTGCTCCTGACGTAGCGTAGGCTCTTCAGTTCTGCGCCGGGCACCTGGGAGCAGAAGGAGCCGGGTGGGCCCTGCTTCCTCTCATTCGTGCTCTTGTCACCCCCGCTTTCTGTCTCCCTCTCTGTGTCTGTACCATTGTCACAATCTCAGTCCCTCTGTGCTCTGGTCCCTTAGTCCCTCTCGTCCCCTTTGACTGGTCACTCGTCTCCCAAGTTCTCCCTGCGTTTCATCCCACCATCCCTCATCCCCTCAGCTTGTTCTGCTCTCTCCCTTCATTCTTTTGGCCCCATCTGTGTCCAGTTACCCCCGTTCTGCCCCCCACCGTCCCTGGTGAGATATCTCCCAGGCGTTAACACTTCCCCTGCAAAATAGAAGGGCTGAGGGTGAGGGAAGCGTCGCCTGCTCAGTCCTGCTTTTTACCCCCCTCCCCAACGTGTCCCTTCACCATGGCCCATCTCTCACCTTTGAGGCCAGTCTTGCTTTGGATGTACCCAGAGAACTGACAGAGGATGAAGAAACTTTGAAGAGTCTCTGGTCTAGCACCGCCCCCAGCCCCACCCTCCTTCCCTCTTTCCTCTTCTCTCTTCTCTTCCCCCACCCCCCAGCGTGTGCAGACACAGTGAGGTCTAGGACTCCAAGGACAAGAGCCTCCTAGCAATGACAAAGGAAGAAAGTCAGTGGGCCTTTTAGGAGGGAAAACCCCAAACTCTCGATCCCTATTATTGAGGTATCCTGATTCTCTTGGTATGTTTCTGTCTGTCTCTCACCTACTCTCCCCAAGGCCCCTCGTCTCTTTGTTTCTGATGTTCTGCCTTATGAGATAGTGGGCTCCTTGTCACTGGAGGGCTAGAGGTATCCAGGCAGAGGCACAGTGAATGTTGTAGGGAAGATTAATAAAACAGGTGGGGTATAACTCTCAGAATCCTTTAACGGAAGAAACCAGGTTCTTGGGACTCACTGGAGAGGAGTCTGGGGGCTGGAACCTAGCAGTATCTAGCTCATCTCTATTCCCTCTCCTAATGTGCTGCCTGCTGAGAGGAAGGGACATGGGACGGGGATAGGCTTCTAGTCCGCTGGTCGTTAGGGGAACATGTTTCCTTCTTGTTTTTCACCTCATCTGTGGGAGTGAAGAAATAGGGCAGCTTACCTGAGCCACGGGTGTAAGACCACAGATGGTCAGCAGGTGTCAGCATATACTGAGAAACAAAATTCACAAAACTCAAGTCTCTCCAAGCCCTTGAGATCCATTTGTTCAATGTGCCTACACATTGTCCAATGCGCTGGACTTTGTCGGGCATAAGAGGATAAAAAAAAAGATGCTCTCCCTGCCCTCGAGATTACATTCTACTGGAGATGGGAATTGACAGATCCGTGGGTAAGTATAGCATAAAATTAGGAGTGATGAGCACAGAGGAGAGATCAGACCGCCCTCGGAACACTAGGTGTCAGGAAAGGTTCCATTGACAGTCTCACTCAAGCTGAGTCTAAGAAGGGAAGATAAAAATTCTAAAGGCAGGGGTGAGGAAGGAGTGTGTTCGTAGCTGTGTGTGAAGGAGGCAGATATTGGATCAGGTTTGGGAAACAGCTGGTAATCCGATTTGTCTGGAATGGAGAGTCTAGGAAGGGGACTAATGTGGAGGGCCTAAAAACCAGGCCCTCTAGGCCCTCCAGTTTGTATTTTATGCAAGTATTTTATTCAGATGCTTGGAGACAGTTATCATGCATGTTCATGCTCTCTTTCCCCCCACCCCCATCCTTCTTTAAACATTCACAGTACCTTAAGTCAATTTTATAAGTTTCGAGGTTTAAAGGGATAACATTTTATAATTTGAAAAATTGGGTTATAGAGACAAGGATATTCAGGAAAATGTATTCTTTTATAGTTCTAGATAGCCAGGGATTTATGGTAATGTGGTTCAGAATATAAATGTTACAGGAGTTTAAGAAAGGGAACATTGCTAAAGAAAGGCTTTAGCTCCGTTTTCTGATTCTTCCCTTAAGGATCAAACTCTCACCACACCCTGCCTGCCATTCTTCCTTCAAAATATCCATTTCCCATTCCACCTGATCTGACTCCTTATCATCCCATTCCTGGACTATTGCTGTAGTCTCCCAACTAACCCGTTCACATGGTGGCTTTTTCTAAAACAATAATTCCAAGTGGTCTCTGCCTACCCTATAGGGTTGTTGTGAGGATCAAGCAAAATAATACGTAAATAGTCTCTGTGTAGTACCCCTTCTTGGAGAATCATCCAACTTGTACTTGAATTGCAGGGTTGGGTCCCCAGAGGGTGACTGTTACTCTCAGGTCCTGGGGTGCCCGGTGGGTCTGCACTCCAGAAACGATACTTCACAAGCGGCCAACAGTGAACTTGCCCTTAACAGTTAGCCAGTAGAAACAGTTGGCATAGAGCAACACCATTTACTAATGCAGAACGGTAAAAACAAGCTACAAAACATTCCCCCCACAAACCTAAATGCACCCTTCCACAAATAGACACAGAAGAGTGGGAACAAACTGGGGATACAGCGATGGGCACACGCACACGGGTAGCCCATGTGGCTAGGGCAACCCGTACTTCAGGCAGTTCAAGGCCTCCCTTGTGCTGCTGCCACGTGGATGCATTGTCTCTGATGGGCACCTGGGCTCCCAGTGCATCCTCCTCTCCACAGTTCAACTCTCAACTGCCAGGACTAAGTCTCTCAAGGCAACAGCAGGCTCTCTTCTTTGCTGCCAGAGGTCACACTCCTTGAAGTTGTTTCCAGCTTTGAATGCTGTACTTCTTCGAGTCTGTGTGTCTCCATAGACGATGTGTATCTGATTGGATGCATCTCAGCTGTGCCTCGAACTCTCTCAGATTTAAAACTACTGCTTTCTGTTTGTTGGGGTGTCTCCCACTGGCCCAGTGGCTCTACTGCAAAGCACTGGGATCAGTGGGGTAAGGGGAAAGAAAGAAAAATCTCTTCTTCCCCTTCTTTCTCTCAAGGGCTGAGTTCTTCCTCAACTGCTGGCTCCTTCCTGGACTGACTGAAAAGCTATCAACCTAGTTTTTTAAGGGCCACTAGGGGTCATGGCCAATATTTTCCCAACTAGTGACTAAATTCCTCTTTAAATTCAGTTTTTTCATGCTTTTTAAAAGAACAAAAGGGCTTATGTGGGGCAGCTAGATTGTTCAGCAGATAGAGCACTGGCCCTGGAGTCAGGAGCACCTGAGTTCAAATCTGGTCTCAGACCAGACAGTTGACACTTAATAGCTGTGTGACCCTGGGCAAGTCACTTAACCCCAATTGCCTCACCCCCCAAAAAAAAAAAGGCTTATATACATCATTCAGTAAGAAACATATATTAACAATTTGTTATCTATATCTGTCCCTTATTTTTATTAATTACCTTCTGGGTTGGGGGGGGTTGCAGTAAGGGGGGGGATGGGAAACCAGCTCCCACCCTCTACCTATGTAAAAGGGCCTTGTAAGTTACAAAGGTGCAGCTAGATGGCGCAGTGGGTAGAGTGCCCGGACTGGAGTCAAGACGCATCTTCCTGAATTCAGATGTAGCCTCTGACAGTTAGCTGTGTGACTCTGATCTAATCACTTAATCCTGTTTGCCTCAGTTTCCTCATCTGTCAATGAGCTGGAGAAGGAGATGGCAAACCGCTCCAGTATCTTTGCCAAGAAAACCCCAAAATGGGGTCATGAAAAGTCAGAACTGAACAACAGCAAACTACAAAGCACTGTGTTAATGGAATGTGGTGGTGTTTTTAATTTCATTGTCACTCCTATACTCAAGAACTTGCTGTACCTATCCAACCACAGTTTAGTGGATAAAGTGCTGGAGTCAGGGAACTTGGGTTTGAGTTCAACTTTAGACATTTACTCAGTATATAATTGCAGGTTAGTCACAAGCTCTCAAAACCTCTGTTTACTTATCTATGAAATGAACAGTTATAAGTTTGTACCACCTGTTTCATGGTTGTGAAGACAATGGTTTACAAACCTTGAAATGATGCTATATTACAGTGAGTTCTTTTTCCCAGTATTCCCAACCAACACATACCCACCATTTCGTTTGCATAGCTTTTACACTCAGCTCTGCTACTAATAATGGAATCATGAGATCACATATTTAGAACTGGAAGGTCTATTTAGAATTTAGAGGTCTTCTAGACTGGCCGTCTCATTTTATAGCTGAGGAAATGGAGACCAGAGAGCATGTGACCTGCCCAATGTCTCATGAGTAGGAAATGGCAACTAGGATTTGAATCTAAAGCCTTTGAATCCAAAGTTAGCACTTTTTCCACTGTATCATAGCTGACCTTTATAGAGTGTTTTAAGGTTTACAAAGTGCTTTATGTAGACAGTCTTATTTGATCCTTGTAACAACCCTGTGAGATAGGTACTAAGGGCATTATTCCATTTTGCAGATGAGACTAGACCTCAGTGTAGATAAGTGTATTTCCCATGGTCACACAGCTAGTAAATGTCAGAGGCAGTATTTGAACTCAAGTCTGGTGTGAACTAAATCCAGTATTCTATCCATTTTACTACCTTTTAACCAACTCACTGTGTGACTTTGAGGAAACTAATTAGCTCCTCTGGGTTTAGTTTTCTCCTGTAACTTCCTTGTAATGAGAATAGGGGTTTAATGAAAATAAATATTAATGTAGCTGAAAGCTGGCAGGGATGCTTCCTTTTCATGCTGACCTCATCTTCCATCCCCCACACCCCACAGCTCAGTCTTCATCCACCTCAAACCTTTATCCACCTTACTACAACCATGTTACTTATTTCTACTCCATCCCCCGAATTGGGTAGCTATCCCCATCACATCCATGACACCATCTTTTTTCACATTATATCCTTATCTCCTCACACAGCCCCTTCTCACACACTCTTATCTCCATTTTTCCACAACACCCTTACTACCCTTACATGTACTTTTGGTCTGGCACACAAACCATATTCCTTCATACTGTCTTCCTGATTTCTGTTTTGCTCCCAAATTTCCCCAACCTTTTATTCTATAGGCATTCTATACCCCAAGATGGCTCCAGACCAGCATTTATAGGTTCTATAAACATAATTCAGTAAAGTTATAGAGATAAATTAGGCTCAGAAATTGTGGTCTAGTTGATCTCTGAGGTTCTTTTCAGCTCCAAAAGTATCCCACCCCAGTGTCCAACCATGCATTTGCTCCTCCTTATAGGTTTCCACTATGTGAAATGACCTCTCTTCTCATTCTGTATAGAGCCCAATTCCAGCCGAATCTTTCCATGAAACTCACTCTTTTGCATTGCTCTTCCCTTTCTACACCATGGATAACACTTGTCTGTACCATACTGGGTACCTTGGTCATGTTCTGTTTTGCTCTTGACAGTTAAGTACTGATCTGTCCCCTAACATCATTAACTGTATCCCCCAAAACACAACTTTAGGTAAAACAAAGTTGTGGGTATGATAGGAGCAATGTTATAAATGGAAGAGGATTTGGTGGATAGAG